CAAAAACCTAAGCACAGATCTGAAGTAAATCTACCATAAGGCTATATACAGAAGACAAAATGTTGGGTCAAAATCCCTATAGTGGACAACTAAAATTTCAAAACACAAGTCTACTACGTAGCTCGCACATCTCTATCTCAATAATCACGGTCACGAAACCCCAACATAAGTGCTGGAAAGGTGAAATAGTATAAACCAGATACTCGCATGGTAGATACTCACAAATTTAAATAACATAAATCAAATAACACCTTAGTACTAAGCACACAGTACACATAAGGTAAACCAAATAAACCACCTATCACATACGGGTCAAACAAATGATGACACGCTATACACCACTAATGGCACTAGCATGTTAAACGGATACAATATATGAAAACGTATCATTTATATCCTCACACGGACTACCACATAGTCATATATCCTAAACATGTTTCTAAGGCATGCCTGAAAACAATGGGGCTTATAAACATGTAAAAGTGATCTTACAAATGGAATTTTCACAAAATAAAAAGAAAGGAATGGAATGCCTCTCAAAAAGAACAACTTCTCATAAAATGTAACAGGATGAGTCCAATCTCTCACTACAAGGAAATGAATCATTCCCCCAATGACCATTAAGGTCCTCGAGACATAGGGTCAGCAAGTCTGTCCCAAGACCAACTCATACCCTGATGGAATCCCAACACCACATGAAACAGGACAACAACGAAAGGGATAACCCCAATGCTAACCGTTACGAGACATCTACAAGAAAATCCCCAAACCAAGATGCCAATGAGTTCGATAAGAACTGTTGGTCCTTATATTGTAGGTCGCAGTGACCATAAGCTTGGAGAAGCATGCAATTTAGGTGAGGGCCAAGTTTTACATTTATAAAGCCACTACTACCTTTACTAAAAATATAGCTAGGGCGAGTAGGGATCGTCCCAAGGGATTAGAGTCGTACTTGAATGTGAAAATGCAACTAGGGTCAGTAGGTCGAATGATCAAACAAGTGGTTGGTTGGTTATTTAAACTAGAGAGCAACTAAATTAAATTAAGTAAGAATGCAATGCTAAAGAGAGTAAGTAAGGGGGAGAGAGATCTTGAGGTTTAGAGATCACCACCAAGCAATGCATTTTTATATCATTGACAAATGATTAATGAGGGCAATTAGGGTGTTGCAATATTGGAGTGTGTGTATTTGGTTGATTCAACAAGTAAGGATGACTAGTTAAGCATGTATTGTCTAAACATCATGTGAAAGGCACAATATATCTAAGCTATGAAACATATATTGTCTAAACAACATGTGAAAGGCACAATAAATCAAAACAAGTTATTAATCCTTTCATTAAGCTCACAATCCAAATACAACACAAGGATAGAAACATATGCTAATTGCATCTCAAACAACAAGCATAGATTGTCCTCCCATTTAACACTACACTACAACTACACTACATCTACACTATTAGCATGAAAATAAACTAGGGAAGAGGCATAATCCATCAAGAGGTAAGCATGAACCATCAAGAGAATCACAAAAGCATTCCTTTAAGCACTATGTTTTGACAACCTCTAAATCTATGGCATCAATACACATAGAGATGCATCAATAACATAAAATCTAAAGACAAGAACATAAACATCAATTCTAGCATACATAGACATATGGATAGAATGAAATGATCAATTAAAAGTATTAAACCATATAAATCATTAAATAAACAAGATCTATATATATCAAAGTGTCAAAACATCAATTACAACACTAATCCCTTAATAATACAGAAGATTAAGATATAGAAAGCATGCTTGGGGCTAACTCTAGCCCCAAGAGGATGTTTAGCCACTCATGGTGAGGATGCTCCAACCCTCAAGGGCTAACTCCTTGGAAGAGGTTTGCTCCTTGTTGATGAAGATCTCCAATGGTGTCTCTAGCCTCCTCCTTCTCTAAACTTCATTTCCAAGAGATGATATCAAAAATAATGTTGGCTCCCCTTTGAAAAAGCAATCCTTATCCTTATATAGGTAGGTCAAAATGACACCCAAAATGAGCTGGGGTCGTGCACACAATATTCCCCAATGATTGGATAAAGGACAACTTTCAATGAGATGGAATTTTAACTTTTTTGCACTGGAGGAAGTTCGATCGATCGAAAGTAAGTGAGATCGATCGAACTTAGGCTGGATCGATCCAACTGGCTGAGCTTTTTGGAAAAAGACAAATCTGAGATATTTATGGGAGATATTTATGGGATAAGGACAAAAGTGGTTGGTGGGTGGTGCAGCTGTGGATAGGATTAATCATTTGGATAAAGACAAAGTGTTCGATCGATCGAAGAATGATGTTGAATCGATCGAACTTTTGGGCTTAAGTGCTTTGGGTCGAGGCTTGGATCTATCTTGAAGTGCTGAGATCTATCAATGTTTGATCGATCGAACCTTGGACTTGGATCGATCGAACTTGCTGCTTTGCTTCATTTTGCTTCTTTCTTTCTCCACTTTACTCCTTTCTTTGTTTAATCCCAGAATTGCTTCAATTAAGCTCTTATTTGGCTGAGTTAGCTTATTTTCGGGATAAGTACCTGAAAATAGAAATAATACGAAATCAATCTAAAACGGTAAAGTAAGATAGATAAAGGTACTAGAATGCCTAAGCTTAAGGGGTTTAAATACGCACTTTTCAGCGCTCATCAAGAACTCTACAAGATTCTACCAGAACCCTAACACAATGCCCCAAGTCTCCAAAGATAAGGAAGAGTAATTAATTGCACCAACGCAATTAATTACACGAAACCGCTTACATCCCAACCGTAGCTCGTAAGAGCTGTCCAAGGCAACACAAGAAGGATCCTAGGTCAACACACCTATCTAAATGCCAAAACCATCATCCTAAGAAAACAAGACTCGAGAACTTTGCCCTGAGACTCATAAAGTAACTCCCAACTCTCCAAGGCAGGACTCTAGTCAGCCCTGACTCATCGTCCCATGACGCTAGAAACAAAGACCTCAATTACATCATGACATCAAGACCACTACGAAGTCCTAAGAGATGACACCGACACCTCTAACACTACCATGACTACATCACGAAGAGATAAAAGAAAATGAGACAAAATGGTGCCTCCGTGGCCTACGTCTCATCTCGCCGGACGGAGACTATAACTTTACGCTTACGTGAGCCCTAACAAGAAGACTCTTTGTGAGTCAAGACTGTGATGCTATATGTTTGAAAAGGAAATGAGATCAATAATAACATGAGTTATTATGATAGAATGCAACTCACACTATAAATGCATGAAACACGAAGCAAGACAAGGTATGCAACAAACGGTCATGTAAAAACAATCAAAGAAAACTCCTTAAATAATTAAGCACTTAAGCAAATAAGTATACATGTCAAACAAGGATGCTTTTAAATACATAAGCATATAAGCATAAAGATATGTCATAATACCAAGCATGTTACCAAGAAACACGTAAACATGTTGCAACGCTAAAACATGTTACCAAAGGCATGTGAACATATCAATATAGATTAAAAAAAGCATGATATGCACCCAAAACCCGTCGTCCAAGGTATTCAAACCTAGGAACTCTGATACCACTTGTGACGACCCAAGTTTTATAACCCGGTGCGTCAGTGATGACCAAAAGATAACCCGATAATGGATTTGAAATGCGGAAGAGAAAGATGATCAAAACAAAAGAAAGAAAGGTTCTGAGGCATGGACGAGCGCCTGTCCAAAGCCAAAGCACCGAGCGCCTGTCTAAGGCCAAAGCACCGAGCCCTTGTCCAAGGCCAAAACACCGAGCGCCTGTCCAAGACCAAAGCACCGAGTGCCCGTTCGGCACTCACCAGTGCCGAGCGCTCGTTCGGCACTCTTCAACACTGAGTGCTCGTTCGGCACTCTTCAACACTGAGCGCTCCTTCAGCATGACTTACAAGGTCGGTCATTCAGACCTACACGGTCAGGCGTTCTGAATTACATGGTCAGGCATTCTAACCAACATAGCTAGGTATTATGACAGAAGCATTGTTACCCAAACTAAACTTTAGCTACTGGAATTGATCTCGAGCATGTGTCAGCTGGCTAATGGCTCTTATCAGCCAAATGACGTAATAGAAAGCAACAATCAGTCGAAAGACGAAACAGAAAGCAACAATCAGCCGAACGATGAAGTAAAAAGTAACAATCAGCCGAATGACATAACAGAAAGCAACAATTAGTTGAACAATGAAACAGAAAGCAACAATCAGCTGAACGATGAAGCAGAAAGCAACAATCAGACGAACGACGTAACAGAAAGCAACAATCAGCCGAACGACAAAACAGAAAATAACAATCAGCCGAACGACAAAACAGAAAATAACAATCAGCCGAACGACGTGATAGAAAGCAATAATCAGTTGAATGGCAAAATAGAAAGCACAATCAGCCGAACGACAAAACAGACAGCAGCAAAAGCTACTCATAGAAGATGAGCATGCAAAGACCTAACGTTTTACAAAATTACTACATTAACTTGAAACAATTCAAAAGGGATCATGCCACCTAACGTTTATGTCATAGTGAGACTCATGAATCATCCTAATCTACTTTAGATATTTTCTAGCATAAAACACATCATTCATGCAATTCAAACAAAATAGAAGCATGCTATACAAAGTAACAAGATATAGATTCTCAAAGTTATCAACTTGAAATCTAAAATACGAAAACAACTAAAGTGAGTCATGTCACCTAACGCCTATGTTCCACATGAATCTCTAGGATCATTCCTAATTACTACAACAAATGTGACCTTTTGTGACGAAAATTTTAGTAACAAAATCGATTTCGTTAGTAAAGGTAGCTCTTTAGCAACGACCATAATTTTTGTCACAAGAAGAATATAATTTAGTGACGAAATATAAAGTTAGTCACTACTTGTTTGGTGGGAAAAAAAATTAAGCCCCCGCGCTCTCCGGGGCATTTTATATTAATGACTAAAGATTTATATTGTCTCTATTTTTTCTCTATACCACGTCGTATCCCTTATACATTAAGAATTAAACTTTCTAAAAATTACTCATCTCATCCTTATCTCTTAAAAACAACCACCACATCTCATCTTAATTACTCATAATGAAAAAACACCAGAACGTGATAAACCCTAATGATATCCCAAAAATTTCTCCTTGATTTCCTATCGCTCTCAATTTGCACATGATTTCTCATCGTCAATATATTGTAGAGAGAGAAGACCATTTCCCGAGTGGTGCATCTGGTGATTTCCAGCCAACAGCCAAGGTATGGAAATTTGTGTCACTGAATCTTTACTACATTCAATAGAGTTCAAAAATTAGGGCTTGGGTTTTATAAATTTGTCAAGCAATCACTTTCTCTTAAACCCTAACACTCTCTTCGTCTGCAGATCGACCCTTCAATCACTTTTGTCTTGGTTCATCGATCAAACTGTCAGAGACACCGTTCGATTACTCTTTATTTCTCTGTACGTTTCAAATTTAACTCTGATTCACTTCAAAATTTGTTGCTTTTTTTTTTTTTTTTTTTTTTTTTTTTTTTTTTTTTTTTTTTGTCCCAATTCTGGTAAATCTTTGTTGTAAGATTTTATTGTGTAACACATGTTTTGATACGCTCTGGAAAAATCCCCTATTTTTGTTACTTTTTTATTTTTTATTTTTATTTTTTGTGAAAATATCTTTTGTTGTCACAACTTGTGCTGATGTATTATTTGTTTAAATTTGACAGAATTACATGGTGATGCATTATAAATATAAGTTGTTACTTTTTGCTCAAATATACTCATTCTTGGAATATCAAAAATGTTATTTTATTTATTTATTTGTGAATTTGACAAAGCTTTAGTCCTCACATAGTGATATATTAGAAATAGAAATTGTAACGCTCCTAACCACTCCAAGTTACCATTTCCCCTATAGAGAATTGAAATTAGGTTAGTGTACTTGTGCATGCCTATAGAATGTAAGAAATGCTGAATTCAAAAAGTAGTTTGTGCCTTTTCGTAATAGGCCCATATGCATGCATATATATCCATTTGGTATGCAATTTATATGTGCATGGGTTTAGTTCTAACTTTTCAAAAATCAATATAACAATTAAGTATAATAATTCTCAGTTAATTGGTCCAGTATCATTCATGTGTTGGTACCTTATGGAAGGCTCAAAATATTTTAGAGATGAGATGTGGGATGTTTAAGAAATTACTTAGGAAAATGATTCTCTGTACTTAGAGATGCTTCCACTTGGATGTATCAAAGTGTCATTGCTCAATCCCTAACTATGCAATTAGTTAATATATTGAGTTCAATGAAATAAAAAAGTAGATAAAAAGCTTAAGCAGTGGTTTCTCTATGTCCTAAACAATTATGGAAGCCTCCCAAAGTTAATGTAGATGCATCTTACAGTGCCATCAAGGAAAGTGCAAGATAAATATTAGTCCCAAAAACAGTTGATTGACTAGCAATGATAATTCAAACCAACTAGAATTCCATATCAACCCAATAGACTATTACAAAATTTAATAGTTTTGTATGATTTTTGTGTAGAACTTGCTGAAATCTTAACCCTTGAATATCCTCTTTAACGTGGCCGCCTCTTGTTTCCTTTATATATAAGAGATTTTTAGTCTGTAGGTGCCCTTTGCTTTCCAGTGATGGAAGTTCTTTATAGAGAATCTTTTTAGTCTAAGGTCTTTGACCTTTTTTTTTTTTTTTTTTTGTAACAATTGTCTCTCTTTTTCTATTTCAGCGATGTTGATCATTTGGGAAGTGTTACTAACAGTACAATCACGCGATCCACCACAATAGAGTCACTATTTTAAGTTTCTGTTATCTCTTCTATTATATATTATATTTGTACCACCTGGTAAAGACACTAACGTTGTTCTTTTTACTTCTTTTTTTTTTTTTTACTTTTGTAGGCTTGATTATTCTTAAATTAGCTGAGGCTTTTTACTGATCTCTAGTAAGAAAGTCTAAAGTTGGGTTATATCGTTGCCATTTCTATTACCTTTTGTTTGAAACATAATTTGTTTACTTTCTTCATAGTTGGATTAGTTCTGTTCTTTTATTGTTTATTCATATTTGTAACTTTTTTTTTTATATTAATAATGATGCATTTTACTTAGATTTAGAACTTTTAAATACCGTATTGCATATCATAAAATCTTTCATTTTGTCATAGTAATTATTTGCCTTAATTCACATTTATGACATTCACAAACATATTTGGTTAGCAAAAGTAGCCCTAGTAAACGAAGTTGGGCTGAATTGTACGCTATTATTTGGTTTCACACTTTAGTAAAATGAAGTCAGTGTATGTGTAATAAGAGACTGATGTATTGTTGGGCTCAACCAATCTAAATTCAAGAGAAAGTGAAGGAGGCAATACTTTTTTTTATTGCAAATACTGGGCAGCCTTCCCTTTCACCCCCAAAATTAATCCCCTTTCACCCCCAAAATTAATCTAGTTAGAGTTATAGAATGATAAATTCTTTAAATCAAGACAAATATTTTAGGACTTTGAATACTTTCTTGTAGTTTCTTATTTTTTAATAGTGAACTTATTGTTTTTGGGATGATGCATTAATATTTATTCTTCCTCTTTTTCTCTCAATTTTTTTGAAAACTCTCTTGTTTGACATTGGATATGGTTTTTGGAAGGCTACTTTATGGTAAGTAATTAGATCTCTCTTAGATTCAATTCAATTTTTATAATTTTTTTTTATCAATATTTATTATTAGGGAAACACTTCATTTTGCAGGTAATTCAGCTTGTTAAGAGAATTGTTTCTTAATTTGTTGGAGTGTTCTATGGGGGTAAGGATTGCCTACCTCATTTTTGTTGGTACTAGGGGTTCAGTTGTAATATAATCTATGGCATTTTCTTGTAATATAATGTTATGAACATGTAGAAGCCATAACTACTTCATTAATGATATATATATATATATATATATATATATATTACTTCATGTTTAAAGTTCTTGTTAAGGTAGCAATCTTAGAGAATCTGATATATATGTACACATTGTTGTATCTTTTTTTGTATAGAAGTTTAGTAATATACCAACAGAGTTGATCGAAAACATATTATTGTAATTATCATGTACAAAGAGAAATGAAATTTGAGCATGATTCTCTGATAGTCACTTTATGCAATACTACATTTCTCGATTTATTCATCCATTAAATTACACATAATTAAAAAAAAAAAGAAAAAAAAAAGGGTAATATAATCTTATTTGTAAGTTGTACACAATATTCTAATGACCTTTCTCTTTTTGAATTGTACAGCGATTGATTGGGAATGACATGAAGAAAACGAAGTACTCAGGGAAACGACGAACTAAAGAGATGAGAACTTTGAAGTGCTACCATAGATGGAGATCGAGTTTGGAGTTTGTTTTTATGTTATAGTTCTGTCATTTGTATTAGAAAATTGGAAATTTAGTTTAAATTTTGTTTTAGAATTGAACAAATGTAGAAATTTATTCAAATTTATGTTAAGTTTATATTTGAACATAGAATTATTATGTATTTCATAATAAAATATAATGCTATGTTTAACTTTGTGTTGCTATATGGAGTTTGAAATGTGTGCAGTTGAATTTGTGCTACTATTTAGACTTTTTTTTAATATTAGCAACAATGATAAGAAGTTCAGAAAGAAAGCAAAAATTGGTTTTAGCAACAAAAAGCATTCGTCATTGGATAAGTTAGTAACGAAAACTTTTGTTGCTAATGTCCTAAAATGTGACAAATATTTTAGTCACTAAAAGGCTAACAGACGTGACGAAAAGTTTCGTCACTAAAAGTGATGCAACAGTGACAAAAAAATTTTTGTCACTAAAAGCCAAGGTAGTAGTGACAAAATTCTCATTCGTCACTATAGAGCAACCGAGACGATTATATAGCAACGAAATAGTGACAAATAATATTTTGTCACTAAAAACTTTTAGCAACGAAAAACTTGGTTTTTGTGACGAAAAAAAACGTTGCTAAAGGTCACTTTTGTTGTAGTGTAAGTTACATTTACTTAACAACATTAAAATTGCAATGATTTATTAAAAATCACAATGGATGAATGTACTTAACAACATTAAAATTGCAATGATTCATTAAAAATCACAATGCATGAATGTACTTAACAACATTTAGAACTGCGATGACTCATTAAAATCATAATGCATAAATGTACTTAACAACATTTAGAACTGCGATGATTCATTAAAATCATAATGTATAAATGTACTTAACAACATTAAATCGCCAATAACTAAAATCATAAGTCACAATTAAATATTAGTTGTCAACTTGAAATTAAATGCGAAATCAAATAGTGGAAGACTTGGACATCATATCTCGGAGTAAACCAAGACTTAAACGGTTATTCCGGGCACTAACTCGCTGGGTATACCATCCTAGTGCGAACTATAAAATAGGGAGAAATCGTACCTCCCGTACTAGAGCCAAACTCCAACCATGTCACTTGTAATAATGTTCTAAGAGAATCCAAAATCAACAAGTAAGTTCACAACTTATATGTAATTAAATGATGCACGAAACTACCTTCCATGTGCAAGTAGGTTGGAACCACATAATCCACGCCTTAGAGTTTCAATTCTAAAATGGCATATATAATGTCAAGTTTTTACTATGATTCAATGTACAATACAATATCATCTTCTTAACAATTTAAATCATGCCTCCATGATAAACTTTAAACTTTAATTCTACGACATTGTAGCTATAAGTTTACAGGGCTAATAATATCTATAATTCGCAAGTCAACAATCTATTCAATATTAGAAACATGTTCTCATGAATATAAATATAACAACCATGTTATTCATTGCTTAAAACATAATCAAGTAAAAACACAACAAGTCTAAATCATGATTTATACATAGAACAACTTCTAAAACAGAATTTAATACATGGAACAGTTAGATAAAATTTAATTAAATAAAAATAATTAAATTCTCCAGATTTCAAATCAATTCCAAATAGCCTCAATTTAATATATGTTAAGGGATATAGCATGGTTATCAACAATATCAAGTTAAAACTCTGATTAAGTGACTAAAACACTTAATATAAAATTAATTAAACTAATTAATCAATTTTCTCTAGATTTTAAAAGTTAATCAAATGATCCCAAATTAATATATATCAAGGATTAAGTCATGACCATGCCATATATCAAGTCTAAAATGGATTACAAGCAAGGTACAATTAAGTAGAATTTAAATCAAATTAAATTAATTTCTAAAACTTGAACGAAAGCATGTATACAAGTTGTATAAGTATCAATAGCATGCAAGACAAAAAAAATATAAACCTATAACATCCCCTACCTCAATTTGAGATGAAAATCTCAAAAGCCACCAAAATGAAACCGCTCCGAATCTGATGATACTTTAGGGTTTTGTCGGGTACAACACGGTGAACATTAAACCCCAAAGAAGTCTTATCAAAATCCTAACTTGGTTTTAAACCCGAACTCAAAAAATGGCCAGAATGGAATTCCAATAAGGGGTAAAGGAAGATCTTACCAAGGCCTACAATGAATGTTAAGGCCCTACGGCATTTACCACGAGAGAAGAGGCCGGAAAAAGAGGAAAAAGGGTGGCAGCCCCTTGGCTTTCGGCCAAGAGAGGGGATGAGAAGAGAAAATCTGATTTTTCATCTTAAGTCACCCTATTTATAGAAAAACCCTAAAAGTGTCTCGAACAGGTCCCGCCAGGTCCGAAAAAAGTGAAATTTGTGTAGACACACTCAAACAATAAATCCCTGTGAATAAAAAAGAACCGAAATGAGATAAAATGAACAACAGAAGAAACGTTATCAAAAACTGAGTCTTGAGCAGAAAGATATGCCCCGAACAAGTTCGATGGCAACTAGGGTCAAAAACCCTAAAATTGGGAAAAAAATGATCGGAAGGGTATGTTAAGAGTACACGACTTGACAAAAAGTGAAAATGAATCCCGTAAGAGGATCCACACTCAAAACGAGGTATTTTTGCAATAACTTTCGTTAATTGCACAATAGCCCCTACAAAAAGTGATAACTGCACTAATGACCCAGAATGGAAATATCTTCCAAAAATATTTTCTTAAAAACCCCTAAAATAAAATATCTTGAAATGATATTTATGAAAATTATTCCAAGAAAAGAAAATGTTTCTGAAGAATTATGCATCTATGCCCCTATGGACATCGGGAGCAATCAGAATACTTTTCTATAAAAGTAAAGATACGTATTTCGTGAAAACTACTTAGAATGAAGGTATGTGAAGTCAAAAACCAACTCTGAACATAAAAAGTGAAGTTATGCCAACAAAGTGACAAATGGAGAAAAGGACGAAAAGTGAATAGTGTCGAAAAAAAATAAAAATGTGAAAATGATGCGGTCCTTTAAGAAAGTTATCAATCCAAAGGAAAGAGTCTCGGAAATTATTCCCAAGCACTCGAGACGACACTAAGTGATGAGAAATCGAACTCAGAAAAGAAAAGATCAATAGAAAAAAAAATATCCGTGAAACTTGAGGAAAAAGGAAAGGAAGGAAAATGACCGGGTCATTATATCTTGGCTAATTGTTTACTTGTTTAATTGATTTAATTATTTATGAGTTAATTGAATTATTTATTTAAATTAAATTGTGTGCTAAAATATGTGTATTCGAATTCTTTGTTTAAATTAAATTGTATGTGATGATGTGTATTTGTTTAGAAATTTAATTATTTTATTTTTATTTTTATTTTATTTTTATATATTTTTATTTTTTTTAAAAAAGAATTGGATATGGAGGACCAATCAATTGGATCCCACAGACTACTTGGATATGAGGTTAAAAAGGTATGGATAGTTACCCAAAGATAGTTATATATGTGTATACATACAACTATACTTATGGAGAGCTTGGACACACTTCCAGGCAGTGTTTTAGAGCTGGACAGGGACAAAAGGTGTAGCAGGGTCATAGGGCACCATTACCTTTACCCACTCCACAGATTCCACGTATTTAGGGACAGACCTTCCATGCTTTACCAGCACCACCGTAACCATAGGGATAAGCACCACAACAGTTGTATTATGGCTGGGTGTATAACCCTAGGCCGCAGTATGTTCGGGCGCCTGAGGCTGTTGAGGTTATGTTTCCTATTCATGGTATATATGGTCGTGTTTTATTTGATACGAGTGCTGCACATTCATTCGTGTCTAAATCATTTGTTGCATTATCTGGGATGACGACACGAGTATGCGATAGATCTCATGGTATTTCTACACCCAGAGGCGTTGTCGCCATCTTACATGAGAGTGATGGGCCTGTGACACTAGATATTGGTAGACTTAGATTTTTAGCCAATCATTGGTCCTGGACGTGCACACTTATGACATGATACTCGGGATGGATTAGTTAACTCACTACCATGCTCAAGTTAATTGTTATGATAGGTCTATTATTTTTGCTATACCTAATCAAGATATGTTCATCGTCGCTACGCCATGCTCTAATGAGGCTTCTATCACATACTATTTTATATTGATGAAGAGGTTACGGTATCACTAGACAACATACCAATTGTACAGGAATTTTCGGATGTCTTTCAAAAGATTCCAGGGTTGCCACCTAGTCGAGAGATAGACTTTATGATTAACTTAGCTCCAGGCACTGCCTCTATTGCTAGGGCACCATACAGGATGACACCAGTGGAGATGCGAGAGCTGAGAGATTAGATTCAGCAATTGCTCAGTCAGGGTTTTATTCGTATGAGTACTTCACCTTGGGTAGCACCAGTTTTGTTTGTAAAGAAAAAGGATAGTTCACTTCGTTTGTATATAGATTACAGGGAGTTGAACAAGATTACTATTTGTAATAAATACCCTTTGCCCAGGATCGATGATCTCTTTGATCTGTTGAAGGGAGCTACATACTTCTCTAAAATTGATCTGCTTTCTAGATATCATCAACTTCGGGTTAGAGAGCAAGATGTTCCTAGGATAACGTTGCTCACTAGATATGGTTCATATGAGTTTCGTGTCATGCCTTTCGGATTGACTAATGCACTAACAATCTTCATGGATTTAATGAACAGAGTCTTCAGGGCTTATTTAGATCAATTCATTGATGATATTATGATCTATTCTAAGTCGGACGACGATCATGCTAAACATCTTTGCACAGTGTTGCAGATGCTTCGTGAACACCAATAATATGCCAAATTCGAGAAGTGTGAATTTTGTCAGCGAGAAGTGAAGTTTCTGAGTGATGTAGTGTCAGAAAAGCGGATATCGGTAGATCCATCCAAGGTCTCAACAGTAGTAGAGTGGGAATAACCTACTTCACCTATGGAGATTCGGAGGATTGGCAGGTATAATACCCCTAATTTCAAAAGGATAGTCCTGGTATTTTATAAATTGTTTAAATTGCATTTACATTTGTTTAATGGTTTATTTGTTAATTTAATGGAGTTATGTGATTTATTTGTTTATTTTTATTTGTTTATTTTTAATTTTATTTAACTCACATTTGTTTAGTTAGTACTGGTTTAATTATGTGCTTATGTGGCTATTTAAATATATAGTTTTTAATTTAACTGTGGTCTGTGTTTTGGTTTCCATGGATATTAGTATTAGGGTTTAGTC